CACTGCATAACATGGATGAAACTTGAGGACATTATGTTGAGTGAAATTAGTCAGTCACAAAAAGAGAAATACTGCATAGGACCACTACTGTAAAAGACTAAGGGAAAGAACCCATACTAAAGGAGGGTTGGGGGGATTCTTTGATGATTATTGGGATTTTGGGGGTGGGTGAGGGGAGGGAGGGGAAGGTGGAGCACAGGGTAGGGAAAATACACAGGATAGTTTGGGTGCTAGAGAGGGGGGCAATACACAAGAATAGGGAGGGGAATAGAAGAACAAAGCGGATGGGAAAACAATTAGGCAGGTTTGCATGGGCTAAGTGGGACAGAAATAAATAATGATGTATGCACAACCTTGGAAAAGGGCTCTGGGATACAGGGATTGAGACACGGTTGGAATGAGCAAAAGGGAAGAAATAATGTTAAGATGCTTGGCTGTCTTTTGAATCTTGGTTCCCTGGCATATCATTATAAAATAAACACTTGAGGGAGAGAGAAAGGAATAGCCAGAAATATCACCATAGAAAGCTTGCAAGTCCATCTTCTGCCTATAAATGATTGGAATACTTAAAATGGGGCTACAACATGCCCAGTGAAGGAGTCTTCCTGTGGAGCCTCTGCATTACATAAGACCATAGGTGGAATCCTGAATCCCATCCAGAATCTTCCGAGGTGGGAAATTTCCACTTGAAAGGACAAGCAGACCAGCCTGGAGTGGCTAGAAGGACAGAAGATACTTCTTGAAAGAAAGACCAACAGGAAAAATACAAAACAGTAAAGGCAGTCTGACTGATTACTGCAAGAACAAGCAAGTTGCTCACCCAGGAGACATCAAGCCAAGTGGTCAGGTCCTCTCAGGGCAAACTGCCTTTCATGACTAACACTCAATGGGAATACACGCTCTGATTGGTGACCATGTTCAATACAATAAGGGGAAATGAAGCTGTGAGCTAAGCCCTACAACTTTCAATAGACTCCTGTGAAACCAGGTAGAGACCTGGTTGGCCTGGGGACTCTTGGGTCCAGAGTCAGTGTCAAAGCCACAGAGGACCTGAGTGGAGAGTGAAGCATCCAGCTGATAAGAAGAGAGGGCATATGCACAAGAACAACCACACTTGCAGATAACACCCACTTGATCTGGCTTCAATGACTGGATGATCAGAGCTCAAGTAGAAGAAGAAAGAAGAGGCAAAAAACAGTAATCTGATACAATTTGGTGAACTTGACCTACACCTATGGATGCAGTAGTTCAAAAGAGGGAACAAATCCTTACAGTAAGGATCATTTCCACCCCCTCCATACACAGAGCAGACAAGGATGGGCAACTTGGACATTGGCTACCCAAAATGGGGGGCTACAAAGGCAAGAAGTGACTGGCTTACAAGCTTTCAAGAGGGAGCCTAGATCCAGAGAGCGCAGAGGAAGGTAGAATCTCCACTGAGTAGTATCCAATCTGTCTGGGCGGGGCTGATGAAAGGAGATGTGGATAGGTCTCTTGTGATACAACAGTGAATAATTGTTATCAGGATTGACTGTTAGGGTTGGAAATGTAAAGGTAGACATTTTGTAGCAAAAGGAGGGGAGTGATTGACTTTGCAGTCTAGGAGCGGAGGTCCCTGGGACCATCAAGGGAGAAGAACGGAGTGCGGGACCCTACCCAGAGAAACAGTGACACCAGAGATGGAGGCAGAGACAATGACATGGAGAGATGGTGCGGCTGGGGACTCTAGACCCAGAGAGGGAGAGGGGCTGTGTGCTGACAACCGGGGGGGCAGGCTTGCAGGGTATACCCTTTGGTTGGCTGATGATGCATGGAGGGAATTGTAACCATGGCAATGAAACGATATACGATAGGATGAATATAAAGCTAATGTTCTTCCATGTAAACTATTACATAATTCACAGTAAAACATTTATATTAAAAAAACCTGAAACCTTAACAATCTACTTCCAACTGAAATGGGAAATTTTCCAAAAAGAAGTGGCTACTACTTCAATGAGAAGTACACTGTGAAGATTATTAATCTTTTTTATGATGTATATGACTATACCTTTAATGATATTTAAGAAATACTGGGCCTTAATGCAGTTCTGAACATTGCATAAGAATGTAATTTACATTATAAGTAGTTCCAGCCATATGACATAGTCGAGGTAGGACAAAACACACTTAAACTGTCTGTTTTGGGTTTTTGTACAGCTTATCATCAGTAATATGTGCAACATACAATGTTGCAGCAAGTAATTGGCTGATTTTATCATTCTCAGATGTGTTTATATGTGATGTTTCCACACCCCATCCCACCCCAAACAAATTAGGAGTCCTGGTATGGTGCTGTAGGATAAGCGCTCAACCGTAAGGTCGGTTTGAACCACAAGGTCATCGGTCAAACTCATCAGCCACTTCTTGGGAACTCTGTACAGGGTCACTATGAGTTGGAACTGACTCGGTGGTACTTAACAACAACAACAACAACAAAACAAAGATCGGATTTATAAATATACTCATAATTAAAGGCAATAATAATTAAAACAAAAAAATGAAAGATGTATTCGATTTATGATAGCATCATCGGATTGGCACCATTGTAAATTGGGGACTGTTGGTGAGAAGCGGTACAGGACTTATTACAAAGACCTAGGGGTCAATCATCATTACACTGATTTTTTCATCCACTTTGAGATACCATTCATTATTAATAAGTAAGGGTGTTATGATACAAAAATCCATTTAAAAACAAATTAAAGTCAACCATGTATCTGGCATGGTACAATCATGGAATGAAGTCAAAGATTTTACATTTGTGTAGAATATTGTTCTCAAAACCGATTTCACACAATTTTAAGAATTGAGAATATTTTTCAGATCGACTTTTGCTCCCTGGATCATCACAGTGTGCGTGTATAATTTTCACTACAGAGCTGTTCACGACAGTAGAAACCAGAGAAATGTTCAGCTCATGAACGGATAAACACAATGTGGTCTATGCAGACAATTACTCAGCCACAAAGAGAAATGAGGTCCACAGTGTAGACGGACTCTGAACACATGCTGAATGAAGTAAGTCAATTGCCAAAGGACACATGATGTCTGATCGCCCTTACATAAAATCTCTACGGTAGACACATGCATGGAGAGATGAAGTAGGTTAATGTTACCAGGGGCCAGGAGGAACAGGGTAGGAAACAGGGACTCCTGTAAAGGGTGATGGGGAAATTTGGAAGGAGATCATGGTAACAGTTGCATAAAAACGATGAACACAGTTCAGTGACGTTAATTGGTTAACGTTACCAAATTGTACATGTGAAGAATGTTGAATCAGCAAATACTGTGTTCCATATATACTTACCACAGTGAAAAAGAAGACAAGTAAAAAGGTGAATATGTATTTGCATAAATGTTTAACTGGAAATGTCTGTGGAGTTTACTAATTTATGCTATTTTTTTCATTGCATGTAATGTTATTGTTGTTGTTCTATGCCTTGAGTTGGTTCCAACTCATAGTGGCTCTGTGTAGGGTTTCTGTGTAGGGTTTCTGAGGCTGAAGATCTTACAGGAGCAGAAAGTCTCATCTTTCTTCTGCAGAGCAACTGATGAATCGGAAGCACCAATTTCTGTAGTTAACAGGCTAACACATAACCCACTATGCTGTAATTGTTGTTAAATGCCGTGGAGTTCGCAGTTAGTGGGTTTGAACCATCGACCTTGTAGTCAGCAATCCAGTGCTTACTCTACAGTGCCACACCAGGATGCTATAACAGACATCTAGTCTTTGCTTCTCTATCGTTTAAGCCTCCTACGTTTACATTTAAGAACATTCACTGCATATGTTTGAAGTGCAGAGATGGGGAAACCTAGGCTCTAATAGATGAATGACATGGAGAGGTAGTAATGGAAAACAAGATGGAACTAGGAGACAGATGCTGGAGCAATTGGAATGATCTCTAAGTAATGGGTCGTCATGCTAAAGCCATATCTGGCAGCCATGTCTTAGATGAACCTTAAGAGGAAAAAATAATCTAGGTCAGAATCGTGGTTATGGGGGAGTTAATAACTTACCAGGAGGGACCAGTCCCTGAAGAAGGACATCATGCTTGGTAACTTACAGGGTCAATGAAAAAGTAGATCATCAATGAGATGAATTGATACAACGAATAATAACAACGAACGCAAACAGCAATGATTGTGGCAATGACACAGAACCGGCAGTACTTTGTTCTGTTGCACATGAAGTTGCTATGAGTCAGAACCAACTCAATGGCATCTAACAACAAGATAGATTTAGGAACACTGGCAGCAAAACAAAAGGTGAGTGGTTCTAACCCACCAGTAACTCCACTGGAGAAAGACCAGACTATCTGCTCCCACAGAATACAGCTTTAGGAACCCTATGGGGTAGTTCTACTCTGTTGTATAGGGGTCGCCGAGCGTCAAGATTGACTCAGCACCAGCTGGTTTGGTTTCTGTTTGATGGAATTATAGAAGTGGCAATGAACCTAGAGGGCATATGAGGTGGATCTACAGGACATAGTAATGCAAGGGAATTGCCAAAATTGGATAACTAAATGAATGTGAAGGAAGGGGAAGTGGTCCAAAATGATTCTGGACAGAACCATCAACAGAAACCAATTAATACAGGAATAGGAGCAGGTTTGGGGAAATAGAAATAAAATACATTATACTGTTGTATTTGATGTATAAATAGGAAATCTGTTTACATATATCCAAGATGCAGTTGGAAGCTAGGGACTTGAGTATAGGAAAGAAGCTGGGATTCATATTAATGTCATATATCGGTGTCCTTTCTGAATTCATATCCAAAAAGAATTCCTTGGAGGGATGGAGTGCTGGGTGGTTCTGTTTGCAGACCACTCCTACACGAGAATTTACTAGGGTCGAGACCATACCAACAAAATCCCTTCATCCACTCTAGGTTTCAATAGCTTACAAAGTATGACCTTAGAGAAACATCTAAAGTTATAATTCTCATATTACTTTACCGTGGAGTCTGGTGATGATGGTCCCATTGCTGAACCATTGTTCTGATGATTAATTAAAATACACTTGATCACGGGCAGATCTTGGTTTGTACAAGTGCCATATATCATCGCTAAAAAAACAGCTGCAAAACAAAGTAAACATAATGATGTTGATGATACACACTGTACAAAAGAACTATGTCATCATCTTACAACACAACCAGATGAAATCAAGGGAAATTGGCCAACATGAAATTATCTAAGCAGCCCAATGTAATAAAAGGTAAGTCTTGGATACACCAGCGCCAGAAGTATGTATAGATAAGAGTGCTGTCCACTGAAACGTTTCACAGAGATGGAAAGAGTCTACATCTGAGCTATCGAAGGAGCTCTAGTAGCGTAGTGGTTACGAATCGGGCTGCTAACCTCAAGGTCAGCAGTTCAAAACTACTAGCTGTTGTGTAGTCGAAAGATGAGGCTTTCTGTAGAGAAAGATGTGGCTTGCTGCTCCCGTAAAGATTTACAGCCTCGGAAACCCTGTGCAGGGTCACTATGACTCAGAACAGACTCCATTGTACTTAACAACAACAACAATTTATGTGTAGCTACTGAGCATTTAAAGTGAAGCAATAAGGAACTCACTGTTTGCATCAAAGCCATTATTGGTCTCTCTATGGAAGCTTCATCCACCAAACCAAATCCACAGCCACTGAGTTGATTCCAACTCGTAGTGACCTTACAGAACTGCCCCATAGGTTGTGATCTTTATGGAAGCCAGCTGCCTCATCTATCTCTCTCAGAGAGGTTGAACCACTAACCCTACAATTAGCACAGAGAGCTTCAACCACTGCGCTACCTGGTTTTCTTCACTAAACCAAGAACCAAACTCACTGCCCTTGAGTCCATTCCAACTCAGAGCAATCCTATGCTGTTGTTAAATGCTGTCGAGTTGGTTCTGACTCATAGCGACCCTATATAGGGTTTCCAAGGAGTGGCTGGTGAGCTTGAACCTCCAGCCTTGATGTTCAAACTGACCTTTGAGTCTAACACATTAACCCACCGCACCATACCAGGACTCCATAGAAACCCTATGTGCTACGTGCTATGTGTCATGGAGTTGGTTCCAACTCATAGCAACCCTGTACAGGATTTCCGAGGCTGTAAATCTTTACCGGAGCAGAAAGTCTCATCTTTCTCCTATGGAACAGCTGGTAGTTTCGAACTGCTGACTTGTGGCTCACAGCCTGATTCGTAACCACTATGCTCCCAGAGCTCCTTAGCGACCCTATAGGAAAAGTAAAATTGCCTATAGGGTTTCCAAGGCTGTAATCTTGACAGATGCAGATTGCCTCATCTTTCTCCTGCAGAGCATCTGATGGTTGTGAACTGCTGACCTTTCAGTTAGCAGCCAAAAGCTTCAATCACCATGCTAGCAGGACTCCTTAGGAAACTTTTTTTTTTTTTTTTGTAAACAGTGTACTAAATTCTCAAAATAGTATGCCCTGGTGAGAGTTTCTTTTCCCCCCCTCATACTGGATACTGTTGATTCTGATTTATACCAACTCTGGGTAGACAGGGTTTCTGAGACATAAATCTTTACAAGAACAGAAAGCCCCATCTTTCTCCCACAGAGCAGCTGGTGGGCTTGAACTGTCAACCTTGCTGTTAGCAGTCCAGTGTTTATCCATGGCACCACCAGGGCTCCTTTTGTAAATTCAATTGTTGTTGTTGTTGTCAGGTGCCATCGAGTCGGAACCGACTCATAGCGACTCCATGCACAGCAGAACGAAACAATGTTCGATCCTGGGCCAACCTCACCACCGCTGCCACCCCCGAGTCCATCAATGATGCCACCTGGCCGATCCATCTCGTTGGAGGTCTTCCTCTTTTTCTCTGACCCTCCACCCTACCCAGCATGACATCCTTCTCCAACGATTGTTTCCTCCGGACTACATGTCCAAAGTAGGAGAGACGAAGCTTAGCCATCCTGGCCTCCAAGGAGCACTCTGGCTGCACTTCTTCCAAAACAGATCTATTGGTTCTTTTGGCAGTCCATGGCACCCTCAGTATTCTCCTCCAACACCACAACTCAAAGGCATCAATTCTTCTACGATCCTCTTTATTCACTGTCCAGCTTTCGCATACATATGAGGCTATTGAAAACACAATGGCCTGGGTCAGGCGCACCCTAGTCCTCAAGCTGACATCTCTGCTCTTCAATACTTTAAAAAGTTCCTGTGCAGCAGATTTGCCCAGTGCAATACGTCGTCTGATCTCTTGACTGCTACTTCCGCGAGTGTTGATAGTTGATCCAAGAAGAATGAAGTCCTTGACAACTTCAATCTTTTCTCCATTGATAAGAATGTTGTTTATTGGTCCAGTGGTGAGGATTTTTGTTTTCTTGACATTGAGATGCAATCCATATCGAAGGCTGTGCTCTTTAATCTTCAATAAATTCAATAGGCCTTTTCAATCTAGAACCTCATACTCTGTTGTTTGGAACAACTTTCTTGAATTATTTCTTTGGTTCCTTCTCTTCCTTTCACTTTGTGTTTTCCTATAATTTGGATGTTTTTCCCAAACAACCATCGATCCCAGACAGTCGGCTAACACAGAAGGAAACACTCATCATGAATTCTTGGCACAGGGTGGGACTGGCTGTGTCTGTGTGGCACCATTGGGTCTTGTCTCGTGCACTGGTCAGCTACCCAGAGAAGGCTCTCCTGTCTTTTGCTGCCAGTGTTCTGGGGGCTGGTGTCAACAGATTATACTCTTTTGGCGTTCTGTCATGTAAATTAGGAGTCCTGGGGTGGCCCTACGGGTTACTACAATGGACTGCAAAGTTTGTTTGAATCGAAAGTTCAGCAGTTCAAGTTCACCACTAGAGCCTCAGAAACCCTATCTATACAGGGTCACTATGAGCTGGTAGCGTAATGGTTATGAATTGGGCTGTGAGCTGCAAGGTCAGCAGTTCGAAACTACCAGCTGTCCTGCAGGAGAAAGATGAGGCTTTCTGCTCCCGTGAAGATTTACAGCCTCGGAAATCCTGTACAGGGTCGCTATGAGTCGGAACCAACTCCACGGCACACAACAACAACAACAACAAATGAGCTGGAACCAACTCAAGGGCACTTAACAACAATAATGTAAATTAAGAAACCCAGATAGAGCACTGGTTAAGCACTGAGCTGCAAACCAAAAGGTCAACAGTTCAAAACCACCGAGCTGCTCCAAGGAAGACAGAGCTGCTGATCTACTCCAGTAAAGCTTCCAGCCTGGGAAACACTCTGGGGCAGTTCTACCCTGGTATAGGGTCACTAGAAACTAAAATCAACTCAAGGGCACTGGGTGTGTTTCGGGGTTTTGTGGGTTCTTTTTATAGCGTGAATCAAGCTGTTTCTCAGTCTCTCGGAATTCCAGCTTATAGTTCAGCTTGCTTCATTTGCTTTCAGGCTTCCAAAATTGTATTTCCTCTATCCCATTCTCTTAGTCCTTGTGTGTTTCTTTGTTTTTAAAACACTTGTCTATCATGGAAGTGGAATCTAGGTAGAGACTGGAAGTAAACGTACGTGTTCAGCGTTCTTTGTATCCCCCGACCTGAGACAGCCTTATTCTGCTTAAAGACTTCAGTAGGGCAACCACGTGGACTACAGATGAAGACCTGCTCTTTGATTTGGTAGGCGTACATTTAACTTTTAAAGACAATGCCAAAATGCATTCCAAAGAGATTATATTCCACACGTTGCCACATGTTTGCAGATACTCAGTAAAATGAGACTTTAATTGTAGCCATTGTAATAAGTGTGTTCCATAGGATTGTCATGAAACACGCCTATTGAAATGGCTAATGAAACACTAAAGGAACCACAACGTTCTTTAGAAGGGAGGTTGATGAGATTTTGACTAGTTTACTTTGTAGACAATCAAGAAGATGGTGTAACACCGGGCAACATTTTTGCCACCATGAGTTGAGTCAACCCAACAACAACAAACAACAGTACCACAAATGTTTTATATCTCATTGAGTGGTTTTTTGTTTTAATGTGGTAAAAAATACACATCATTAAATTTGCAATTTTAACCATTTTCAAGTGTTGAGCCCAAGGCACAAGGTTGTACAACCATTATCACTATTTGTTTTCAAAACTTTTCCATGATCCCAAATGGAAACTCCATATCCACTAAACAATACCTCCTTATTCCTCCATCCCCACCACCTCCCTACCCACAGTACCCACTCATTGACTTTCTGCCTCTACGCATGTGTCTGATGTAATGGAGTCATACTATATTTGTTGTGTGTGTGTGTGTGTGTGTATCCAACTTCATTCACTTAGTGCCATGTTTTCAAGTTTCATCCATGCTGTAACATGCAGTAGAATGCTATGGCTTCTCAAAATAGAATAATATTTTATTATATATACATACCAAATTTTGTTTATCCATTCATCTACTATTGGGCATTGAGTTGTTTCCACCTGTAGTTCTCCTGAAACTCATTGATTCTGTTCATTTTATTCATTATTTTTTTCTCTCTGTTCATTTTGGATAGTTTCAATTGCAGTGCCTTCAAGTTCACAGATTTTTTTTTTTTCTTTCCCTGCAGTGTCTAATCTGCTATTAATATCATCCTGTGTAATTGTAGCTTTCCTCTCTAGTTTGGATATTTATTTTATATCTACTATTCCTATGCTTAACATGTGCAATCAAGAATATAAGGAACACTTCTGGAAAGATGGCAGACTAGGCAGATGCACTACACAGACCCTCTACAACAAAGACACAGAAGACAAAATACAACAGACACAGATGAAAAGTCTGGTACCCTGAATTTCAGAAGAAAGGTGAGAGAGGTGGATGAAGGGCTTCCTGGGAGGAGAGGCCAAACAGAGACAGTAAGAGGGAGACTGACTGGTGAAGGGAGGGCCAAATGCAGTTCTACCATCTTGTGAGCAGCTTTGGCTGCGGAGGAAGGCCTGGCAGAGCAGATTCCCATGGGTGATGGAAACGGTGTGAATTTTTCTTTCTCCCATGGTCCCCAGGTGACTAGAAGTGTGGCCAGCTCCCATTCTTACCCACCTCCAGTGCAGACCCTGCTCTCTGGGACTTCAGAGTCGCATGGTTGGAAGCCATGCCAGTGTGAGGTGGTGCTTTGGTGAGCCGTTTTGGTGCCTGGATGCAGGTGGGCTCAGCTCCAGACCTAAAAAACCCACAGAGTTACCCCCCTGTCCCCAACTTTCCTGTGGTCCTAAGAGACACTGAAAGCAGTTCCATCAAGGGCCCACACAAAGTACGTCCAGATTGATTGTCCTAAACATAGATAACACGGAGGCCAGTAGGAGCTCCATCTAGGGCCAGGAACACTGTAGTTACATCTTTCACACAATCACCTTGTGAGCTCCTCAGATGTCAGGAGTTCAACAGAGATTTCTCCCTTCTAGGTCCAACAACTGCATTGTTTTAACAAATACGATAATCTCACAACACTCCAGAGACAACAGACAATTTTAGCTCTCACAAAGAAACAAGAGAGAATGGCTTAAATGACCAAGATACAGAACCAGATGCTTCTGCAGAACAAAAAAAGGTAATAGAACTACCTGAAAAATAATTCAAAAGAATGATAATAGCGTACCTTCAAAGGACTGACAGATCGATGAAAGCAAGGAAAACACTTTAAAACCTTAGCAAAACACTACAAGAAAAAACAGACAAAATAAATGCAAATTTTGAAACAATACAAAACCTGCCATTAGAAATCCAGAAAATTAATATAATACTAAGATCTCAGAAATTGACAATACATTGAACGGGAAAAGGAGCAGATGTAAAGCAATGGGAGCCCAAATGAATGAACTTGAAGATAAATCTCTCAATACTAGCACACTAGAAGGACAATCAGAAAAAAGAATGAAAAAACCTGTAGAAAACCTAAGTGTTATGTGGGACACCATGAAAAGGAACAATTTGTGGGTGATTAGAATTCTGTAACACAAAGAGTCAGCACAGAGAAAACCATCTAAGAGTTGTTGGAAGAAAACCTCCCTAACATCATTAAAGATGAGAAGATAAGTATTCATAAGCAGAAAGAACCCCAAACAGGATAGGTCACAAAAGAAAATCACCAAGACATATCATAATCAAACTTTCCAAAATCAAAGACAAGGAAGAATCCTGAGAGCAGCTCAGAAAAAATGAAGTTACCTATAAAAGAAAACCAAGGAGACTAAGCTCTAATTTCTCAGAAGAAGCCATTCAGATCAGAAGACAATGGAATGACATCTATAAAACTCTGAAAGAAAAAGATTGCCAACCAAGAATCACATACCCATCAAAACTATCCCTCAAATACAATGGCAAAATTAAGACAATTCCTGGTAAACAGAAATGAAAGAACTTGTAATGACCATAACAACTTTTTTTAAAAGGCTAAAGGGTGTTCTTTGGACTGAGAAACAACAACAACAGACAACAACCTGAGATTACTGTACATGACAATAACACACAGAACTCAATCCAAATATAGAACTATTTAAAATAAACAAACCTGCAAGATTGAAAATAGGGAACTAGGGACATCAATGTGTAATGAAGTCAACTACAAAGCAAAAAGAGGGAAAAGTGTAGATACAAAACCTCCAAATGGCAAGAAAGTTACGCAGATTTCATGATAAAAGAGATTATTTTAAGCAAGGAAAAAACTAGTAAGTCACGGGGTACCCTCATAGGAAAAGAATGACCTGCACATCAAAATTTAAAAATGAGGAAAATCAGAAAAATTTAGTAAACATTAACACAACAGAAAGGAAAAGGAAACCCACAAACAAAATGAACTCAGAGCAGAAAATTATGTGAAACAAAGTATCCTGCCACACCTTCAAAAACATACAGAAAAATTGACAACAATCAATTCATACCTATTGATAATGACACTGGATGTAAAGGAATTAAATGTACCAGTCAAGAGACATAAAGAGCAGAATGGACAAGAAAACAGGATCCTTCAATATGCTGTCTATAAGACACATATCAAAAAGGTAGAGACAGCCTAAATGCCCATCAACAGAAGAATGGCTAAACAAACTCTGGTACATACAAAATGTTGAAGAATAACGATGAGTCTGTGAAACACCTCACAGCATGGTTGAACCAGGAGGACATTATGCTGGTTGAAATTAGTCAGTCACAAATGGACAAACATTGTATGAGACCAACGTTGTAAACAGTTTAAAAAAAAAAAAAAGTTTTCTTGATAAAGAAACCATTTATGATGGTTATGGGGTTGAGTGGGGGAGGGAAAATTATTCATGGCTAGATGGCAGACACATGTTAACATGGATGACAGGGCAGGAAATATACAACAGGAGGGAAGTTGGCAGAGGAAAGATGAAGGTAGCTGGAGACCCAGGGAGGAATGCAAAAGTTGAAGTGAAGAGAGGTAAATGCTCTAGCGTAGTGGTTACAAATTGGGCTGTGAACCTCAAGGTCAGAAGTTCAAAACTACCAGCTGTTCCACGGGAAAAAGATGAGGCTTTCTGCTCCCATAAAGATTTACAGCCTCGGAAACCCTATGCAGGGTCGCTATGAGTGGGAACCAACTCCACAGCACATAACCACCACCACCACTTCTGATAACTGTTGGTACCTGAAGGGGATTACAATTGTGTAGTGAAGCCAAGTATATGGTTCTGTAAACCTTCACTGAATTCACAATAAAAAGTTAAGGAACAAAAGAACTTAAGGAAGAGAGTTATCACTGTCTTACTGTTATCATCTACTAACCCTATTTTGTCCAATTCTACGTCCGTTGTGGATGATTGCTGTTTCTCCTTATTATGGACTGGATTTCTCTCTTTCTTTGATTGTTTAGTCATTGGTAATTAAATGCTAGACATTGTAAATCTTACCCAGTGCTAGATATTTTTTTGTATTCTGCGATAAACTCTTGAACTTTCTTTCTGCTAACCTTTCGACTGGAAGCCAAGCGCTTGACCTGCTGCATCACTAGTTCATCTCATTCATCACTGTCATTGCTGTTGTTGTTAGTTGTGTTGCTACTCTACCCGTTAGAATGGTTTAAAAAAAAAATGTGACACCAAAAGCTGCCAAGATGCGAGAACTGCAACCCTCATGCACTAACGGTAGAGATGTCAAATGGCACAATCATGCGGAGAAACAATTTGGCAATTCTCATGACAGCATGACAAATTCACTCCTAGGTATTTACCCAAGAGATATTAAAAACTGATGCTCAGACCAAAGTCTGTGTTCACATCTGTAGGATGGCTTTATCCAAAATTGCCAGACACTACAAGCAAAAAGTAGCCTTCAGAGAGTGAAAGAACGAGGTTTTCTGCTCCTATAAAGATGTACAAAGGAGCTCTGGTAGCGCAGTGGTTACGAATTGTGCTGCTAGCCTCAAGGTCGGCAGTTCGAAACTACCAGCTGTTCCGCGGGAGAAATATAAGGCTTTCTGCTCCCGTAAAGATTTACATGCTCGGAAACCCTGTGCAGGGTCGCTATGAGTAGGAACCAACTCCAAGGCACTTAACAACAACAAAGATGTACAGCCTCTGAAGCCCTATACAGGGTCACTATGAGTCAGAACTGACTCAACGGCACACCGCCCATAGCAAACACCGTACATATCCACACAACGGAACATTAGTCAGCCATAGAAAGGAAGCACAATGTGGGAAAATCTCAAATCATGACACTGTGCAAAGAAACATCTCAAAAGGATTTTTCAGAATTACAGTGGATCATAAAGAGTCACCTACTTGTCATTCTGGAAAGGGAAAACTGAAAGGACAGAAAAGAGGTTGCTGATGATGGGATTCGGGGTTGCTTACAAAGGGACGAAAGTGGACTTTCTGAGGAAATGGAATGTTCTAGATCTAGATGGTGGTGATGGTTTCTGGTGCATTGTTAGTTCAATCTTGTTGTTGTTAAGTGCCATCGAATCCAGTTCCAATTCATTATGACCCTGTATAGGGTTTCCAAGGAGCAGCTTTGAGCTGCAGACTTTATGATTTACAGTCCAGTGCTGACCCTATAGTGCCACACCCGGAGTCCAGTTACAATTAGACTTTATAATGTCAAAATCCATTACTCTTTTAGTAGAAAGTAAATTCAATTTGGAGTCCTGGTGTGGCACTGTAGGATCAACACTGGACTGTGAACCACAAGGTCCACAGTTCAAACCCAACAGCTGTCCCTCGTAAACCCTATACAGGGTCACTGTGAGTTGGAACTGACTCGATGACACTTAACAACAACAAATTCAATTTACCTAAAGAGGATTGGTTTTACTATATGACTTTTTTAAAAGTCAAAGACATGGATAGACCTTGAAATCATGATGTGGAGTGAAATAAATCAGAAACAAAAGGACAAATACTGTGTGATCCTACTCAGATGAAACATCTGGAATAGGCAAAGGCACATACATCAAAAAAATAGAAAGTGAGACATTCATGGCCACCGGGGGCTGAGGATGGGGAAGGGTACTGAGTTTCTGTTTGGGTGAGATGAAAAACATTTGAAAATAGATATTGGTGATAGTTGACCAACAACATGGTGGATATAATTCATATCACTGAATTGTATACAGTTAAAAATTGGTAACATGGCAAATGATTTTTTAAAAATATTTTATCACAATATACATTTTTTAAGCCAAAGATTTGCCACCATCCACATTAAGGTTCTGTCTGAGAGTACATTCCAAGCCCTAGTGGCAAGTCCCAGAGTTCTGTTTGAAACACATTCTAAGTAATGTTGACAAGATTGAAAAGGCTTCCAAAATGTTGTGTTTTCAAGGGACAGGACTGGGCTGGGGTGAGGTAAGGTGGAAGGGTGGGGAAAATAATTTAGTACCAGTCTAAAATAAAATTTTAGATAAAAGCAAGATTTGCTCTTCACTGAAAGAGTAAATGGATTTAGGCATTCTAAAAGAAACCGCAAGAGAACAAGAGTACTCATTTTCCAAGTATCCTGTGAAGCAAAGAGACCTGACTAAAGCCCTGGGAAGCAGAGCCAACTCAGAGTCTGAGATTTTGTCGGCTTTGTGAGTTTGAACAAATCATGTAACCTGCGGGGGGGCCCCAGTTTCTTCATCTGATAAATGAAAGCAAGAGATGGGGGGAGCTCAAAGGTCCCATCATCCCCATCTATGACCTTAATTATTTGCTCATGAGC